AAAGCATTTTTTTATATTATCTCCACGTAGTATTATTATTAACCACTATATTGATCCCTACCTTCATTGTCATACAGCTTGTGGTTGTGAGATGACAGTTTATTAGTTGAAGTGTAATGAAAATTACTTACTTACTTTTTGTAAGTTCTTGTACATTGTGTGAGGTTGTTTAACACACTTTTACATACTAACCAGTTAAGCACAAAGTCAAGTTTCAAAGTCGTGTGATTAGAATTGATATGATTATGAACAATGAATTTTGTTTGAAACCTTGTCATCCTGTAAATAATACTGTTTCACTGTGTGATACATCTAATAAACAAACTAATATGGAATTAAGCACAAAGCTGTCTATGAAAAAGGCCAGAGACTATGTATATTTTGACGCAACACTAATATTCATACTAAATGAATCTGTGAATTTGTTGGAGGATTGCTCAGACATGTTATATTTGATTAAACGTTTATATCAGGTCAATATGGCATCTTTGTATATTTACCACTTATAGGTTTTTAGGAGGTTTGACTGATTTTAAAACATGAAAACTCGCAAGTGTTATAAGAGGTGTAAATTAATCACAAAAAACTAGGCTTAGCAGTATGGTTACATGAAATAATTTCTTTGAAAAATAGGGTATACATAGAAACTCAATGAAGTGATATTTTGTAAATGAAGACGAAAAATAATTGAATTAAACAGTTAGAACTGCAGTAAAGCAAACACAACTAATTTCAAGCCAGATGTAGGGTTGAATGAGTTTCTTGCATACATAACTAATCCATGTGAATCGAGAGGTCATCTCCATAGCAAAGATGTGTGAAGCTCAGTCATAGGTAGACTTCATTTAACTTTTTAAGCACTCGAAATGAAGAGTCGGTTGAATTGTTGTGAGGTTGTTGACAAGATGCCTAAGTATAACACTTCTGCTCGAATCACTGCCTTCTGTTTCCATCCATCCCCTTACAGCTTTTGAAGGGAAACTCATTGGATGGCCTATGTACCTAGCTCCAAAAGAACCAATGAATTAATATGTACATTTCTGTCATATACCAAAATTTATTTTTCAAATTTCTACTCCAGTCAACCACTTTTGAGTTTCTAGAAATTAAATTGCTCACAATAAAGTCATTCACTAACTGATATCGGTTAGTTAACCAGTTAAAACTGTGAAGCGGATGTAACAGACATTTTACGTCTTGGGAATACTTCAACGATACACATTGATGACATCATTGACATGAAATGTTGTGAATTTAAACCAACTAACTTTCTCAATGCCTAAATAGTGATTTTTTCGAACTACAAACAGTCCAGAGATATTTAAATAAATCAAGGACAACAGTTTATGCAGAATGAAATGTTACCATCATAATTCATTTCCTTGGCTTCTCATCAGCTGCGTACAATCTCAGGAAATTATCAGCTCTATGCACAAAACAGTTCTAACATACTTGCAAATGTCACAGGATGTCAGTTGACAGGAGGTTCCAAAGTTAACAGACAGTCCTCAGAGAAATACACTTATGTTGGTTTCACCCACACAGCTCAAATTTAAACGGAAACCAGTGTACGCATACAATGGTAAAGGAGTCACACAACAATGACAAGAGGTGAATAAGACGATGAGTAACTTGTAGATTGAGTAACAGTGTAGTGAGTTCAACTCAAATCATACGAAGAAGAGACAAGCAAAGTTACACTACATCTGAGGAGGGAGAGGTTAAGGTCAAAGAATGCGTAGTCAAATGAAGGAGAGGATAAAGACACCGAGTTAACGAGGGCAAGGAAGGACTGATTACTGCTTCATTCTGAACACGCAAGTCATATTTTAGGCGTTTGATAACCGTTGCTTTGACAAACTTGAAGAGAACTGAATTGTTGTGTCGACTGATATTTTCAAAGGATTCCTCTTTGTCCACATTATGACTCGTATTGATGACATGTGTGGCAATCGCACTATAGTAAGCGTTTGTTCTCTTGAAACGTAGGCTTTTTGGAACATGTTCAGAAAATCAGAGATGTGACCTTCTTTCTTTTATCACAATGTGACTGGTACATTGTTACTGAATTTACTATTTACTCATCATCTTGTCATTGTTGTGTGACTCCTTTACCATTGTGTGCGTACATTGGTTTCCGTTTAAATTTGAGCTGTGTGGGTGAAACCAACATAAGTGTATTTCTCTGAGGACTGTCTGTTAACCTTGGAACCTCCTGTCAACTGACATCCTGTGACATTTGCAAGTATGTTAGAACTGTTTTGTGCATAGAGCTGATAATTTCCTGAGATTGTACGCAGCTGATGAGAAGCCAAGGAAATGAATTATGATGGTACCATCTCATCCTACTGACTGCCTGACTGATTTAGAACGTAGAACATTGCACTGATGTGTAGCTGCTGGAGTTGCCACACTCCATGAAGCACACAAGGCAAGAAGAGAGATTCGAAGGAGAGAGAGAGACAGGTGATAAAGAGAAATGTGAGGTGAAAAGAATAGTGATATGTGAGAACAATGGAATTTTACTGGATATGACAAAAACACAAAGATTGAATGCATCTGCTTCATTGAGAACGGTTATGAGACAAATCACCAATTGTCTCCAACCGTCGGATTTTACCATCCGGACGACCCCAACCTAGAAGTCTACACCTCCCAACGTGGCTTTAACTAACTGTTGTGGATTTCCTTGACTGATGAAGCTGTGTTTCGGTTTGACCACCACTGGCTCTTTTATTCTGTACAAACTGTTTTTCTTGATTTATTCAAATTCATAAAGTGGTATAAGTGTATGAGGTCCAATGATATTCTCGAGGTTGTTATTACTTCGAGAGTTGCTTGTATGTCTTGATTTTGTTTCCTGTAATGTGGAGGTGCTATATTATTTTTGCAGCTTCTCTACTAGTTTTCTCATTTGTGTTTTAGTCGTTGTTTAGTAATATGGCTCATTGGTTTATGCACATTAGGTGTCTGCATTGGATATATATTCTACTATAGGGAACAAATTCTATTCTAATATTAACTGTCGAAATATATCAGATAAGTCTGAGTGCAACTCTTAGCCTTCCTCACTTCACTTTTAATCGGTTAAACTAGACGGTAATCTTTTGCAAATTGTTGGTCGACTTTTGTGTTGAATGAGTGAACTGGAACAAAGCAAGAACATTAATTTTACCAGGATAATATGAGCTCATCTTTTAATATTTCGGGGATTCTTCTCAACTGGTTACAACCTGAACGATAAAGAATATGAGTTACATTACATTCAATATAACCACCTCATGTTACCTACAACTCTGTCTACCAATATACATGTACGTGCGAAAGCACATACATCGGAAGAACAGAGAGAAGGGTTATTGTCTGCATTTCTGAAAACATACCAAAGAAGCTGAGACTGAAAGGTTCACAAGTATTATACAGTGCAATTGCACGTCATCTATTAGACACTAGTCACAATGTAGAAAACTTGAATTCATTCAAAATAATCAACAAGCAAAAGAAACCTAACTTTCTACGCTTTGCTGAAGCAATTGCTATCAGACGACTTAAACCAAATCTATGTACGCAGAAAGAGACAATGGTGAATCTTACACTGCCCTGGTGACAACAAAATATACAAATTGTATGAGTCACCATTTTTCTTGTTTAGAAATAATAATAATAAAAACTTTACTCTCTCATCTAAATATGACTCACCCTGTCTTGTTCTTTTCTCTTCATTTTTTTCTATTGGCTATTAGATAAAACATTTTGTTTAGTTACGTAATCTACCTTTTTGTTATGCTCTTTCTAGCCAAACCTTGTTTCTGTATACACACATATATATATATGCAACTCTGTTTTTGTTTCCAAGCCTAATTGTCTAGTTATTCTATAAATAGTCAGTGTTTGTAACTCTTAATTAGTTAAATCATTCCGGACTAATGTTACTTTTACTTCGTACCAATTACTCCTTGTGATCGTGGAAAAGTATGTTCAAATCTTTAATGTAATGTAACTCATATTTTTTATCGTTCAGGTTGTAACCAGTTGAGAAGAATCCTCAAAATAATAGAAGATGAGCTCATATTATCCTGGTACAATTGTTGTTCTTGCTTTGTTCAAGTTTATTAATGGGAAGAATTGCATGAAGTTTTTGAATGAGTAAAGATTATATGGCTGAGTAAATGATTGTGCATTTTTCACAAATCCATATTTCACCGCTTTTCTGATTGCTATATTGAAGCGAAGCTATTGCATAGTTACTTTTTTCTGACCTGTAGGTGGATGGTGTTACTGATATCTGAGTATTTCTCTCCAACTGACGTGGCTAACATACAGTTTATAGGATAGATTGTGTCATATATTGTGTTTATTCTTCGAGTCAGTCTGCGTAGGTTTATTGACAGCTATCTTCGTTATTTTTATCCGGCATATTCCTTCAACAGAGTATCCAAGACGTCGAAAAATATTTCATGCACTCAGAGGAAAAGCTGGTAGTTAGGGAATGAGCTCTCTCTTTCTTGACTCGTCAATCAACCGGATTTCGGAAACTATCTATAACAATAGTTTCATCAGATCGTACAATCAGAATCTGCAGTTCAGTTCGTTACCCGCAATAATTTTCGATTTCTAAGTAGTCTTTCCCAATGAAAACACCTTTGTAAGCAGTGGTGTAACGCCTTTCTCTTCATACACCTCACCAAATATGTTGTATTGTGAAAACATATTTGAGAATTATCACTCTTAATTTCCCATTACTGAAATCTTGTACTTTCAATTATAGAATTACAATCCATCTTCACGATAGAAATGACTGATATCCGTGTATTTATTAAATGTAAGAGCCTATGAAAGGTATTATTAGTAAAATTAAGCTATGTTTATAATTTTTAATTAGAAACATCAGGAGTACTAAAATCACCTTAGTGATATGTTTGAAGACCAATTGTTTCTTTGTTGTTTTATAATTCTGCAATAACCGTCTAGAAATAACTTCCGTATTTTCATTATTTCAGCTTTATGTACAGTTACGATTTGCACGCTATCGTGTTTTTCCTGGAGTCAGAATAATATGTCAAATGATATTCATTGCTCTGGGATTGGTGGTCGGTTACTCACGTATCATAGATAATAAACATCATTGGAGCGATGTGCTTATGGGTGGGATATTAGGATTTCTCTTAGCATTCAGTACGGTAAGTTGAATATCACAGTTTATTGCACCTTTTTTGGATTCATCAAAATCATTATTTACATTGCTAATGTTAGTAATAAGAAGAATTACTAAAATTTGTTTAACATTCCAATTAATAAAAGGTATGTGTGTGTGTATCTGAAGGAGTGTAAGCATTCATTTTTGCAGAAAAAGTTGAATTCAAAATAGTATTTTCACACCGACGATTTTCAGCAAATATTTCTTTTATGAGTGAAATTTAACGCTTTACAGAAAAAATTGTGGCGTAAAGATAAAATAATTATACTTCTCAAAGTACTATTCGTCATAGTGAGTGGTGTACTTATAAGGTTACTGTGTAGTATTCTGATTGTTGTTATTGGTGTTATAAGACTTTAAGGAGGAATCTGAGATACTGATCTGTATCGATTTTAGCGTTTGTTCATGAGATGGATCAAACAACTTGCTATGTACAAAAACGTATTGCATAACTGTGCTTGCGATTACATTCTCCTTCATGACGCTTCGTGATTTAACATGCAATATTCTAGACTTATCTGTGGTTTCTTTGTTACTTTTCTGATTTTTCACGAAACCTTTTATAAATGTAATCTAGAGAATTCAGTGTTTTTATAAGCAGCTGGCATGGTGTAAATTATCCATCCATATGCAAACATTATTTTTCAAGCTGAGTTAAGAGAATGAAACGTCTCCGAGTATTTGTTGATCAGTTTGAATCGCTGTGAAGTATGTTTGTACCGAATTGTTACGCAACATGCGTGCATTGGCTAAAGATTGATAATGCAACATAGTTGATGAGTGTCACTGAGGTGTTATGCAATGTGTCAAAGTGTGATAGTGGTAAAGAATAAGTTAGAGAACTGCAGAAGTAGGTGATAGATTTTTTGAATGCAAATGAATGAATGCAAAACTGGCCAATGGCACAAAAATTTACCAGTTTAACGAAGAGGATGGTGGGAATACATTCGTTAGAGATTTCGGAAGTTCCGGATAGCTCTGTGAAAATAAGTGATTATAAAGTATGCCAGCAGTTTGTTTTAGTGATAGATATATTGCGAGAAACTTCTAAATTGAATTTGTTGATCCAGGATGAAGTGTACAACGACTCAAGAAGTAAGAAAACTACCATCAAATCGGGATCATTAGCCAAATATGGATAAGTGACGATATGAAAGCACAAGGAAAACAGCAGTCTCCTGGGATGAAACTCCAAATGACGACGTGCTGGTCATAAAACTCCAAGGAATTTATAAACAAAAAGTAAAAGTAATCTAGTGAACTAAAATACAAAAATCTAGTGAATAATTGTGGACTCGCGACATTTTATGGGCATTTACAAGCCTGTGTACACCAACTGGTCAGAGCGATTTGTAGTGAAGATAAAATTACAGAGTTCCATAGCCTGCATATTCACACAAACTGTGATAAATGAGAGATGTAAATATTTTATAATTATTCACCATAATTTTTCTGGTAAATAATTCCATGTGTACTCATCCAGATTGTTTCGAAAAGAGCTGATTTTAACTACAGAAGTCGCTGATGTTCAATACTGAACATCACGGAGAGAATCAGTATTCAATATCCTACAAGAAGTGTATTTTTAACCACCTAAATTTAGCTAATCAAACAATTTTGAAACACATCATGTGTGATTTTTGTTCTCCTGATTGAGTATCAAAAGTCATAGAATTTTAATTTTTTTCTTCACTCATGTGATGAGTATACTCTAAAAACATACATTATTTAGTTAGTCAATTTTCGGTGACGTGGATTATGGTAGAATAGATTTTGGTTATTTGCAATTGAGAAATCTATATGTTATCGTGCAAACTGAGTTGACAGACAGAATCGGATATCTCAACATCTGTAATTATAGATAACGGAGTCTACTGGTATAACATTTATTTAATTAAGATTGTTTATGATTCATGATTCTTTTCGGCATAACAGCCTCTACGCTATCTACTCTTTTGACAGCTATAAGAGTGGTAACATTTAGAATAAGCGTAGATATGATTAAAACATTGCTTGAAATCGCAGGGAAAATTAACTATTGCATTCTTAGTCGTTTGCTGATATAACGCAGTTCACTGGATGACTTCAGTCGGTTACATAATTCACTGGCTGAAGCTGAAGATCAAATCTTATGGTTGTTACACTGTTAAATGCCTCTTCAACTAGTGAAAAATTACATGATATTTGTAACAGGATTGAGTGAATCTCAGTTGAAATTGAAAGAATTTCAAGTCAAGATCCGTGTAATAAGGAGTAGGGATGTAATATTTTAAAAAGGTATAGTTGAAAATTTACCATTACTGAATTACAGAAGAGAAAAACGGCCTATCCGCTTTTGTCTTTCTGAACATTTAATTAGTTTTGGACACCAAGTAAACTCTCAAACTAATTCGAGAATTATCTATGCAGTTACTTAGAAACCTTACCAAGGGTGTAGAAATAAAACTTATTCAAATCGCAGAAACCAGGGCAATTCATGTGATAAAGCCTGAACACTGAATATAGAGGTTTGTTGACCCTCTAAACTTACTAGGTACTTCATTTGTCTAAATATTTACCGCTCAACGTTTTTCTTTTCACTCTATTAATTGTCTACTCCCTATCACATTGTTCTGGGCTTGATCTTCTCTCAATGATTTGTTTTTACTCATCGCAAACTTAAAGGTTCAATTCATATCTGCTAACTCTGGTCAAAGCTGTAGTTTTCCCCATTGCTCTGGTTTTGTGGGTGTGAATTCACTGTGGGTTTTTGGGGAAAAATGAAAGGAAAACCTGGGCGGAATGATACAATATAATTTATTGTAGAGTTTCTGTACCAGTGCTACTGTAATCGATTTAAGGGAGGAATTAAATGATTTAGTTTATTTAAAAAAGCTTGTATTAATATACTCCGTGATGTTAGTCAAATGAGCTAGTTTTCGCTTGTTAGTTGTGGTATTTTAGTGTTGGCTAAGACATCTATTTTGAAGCTGGTGTTTTAATTCATCTTCAAAGCTCCTATTTACGTGAAGTGGTTCCAGAATCTCAATGAATCTGAGTTTTGTACTCAGTAATACTTGGAGGCATCGGAAACCGAACTATACACTTAAGTAACAATCTGATACCTCACTTAGCAGTGCATGACTTCAGACTCTTACAGTTCATAACATAACACACACCAAAAATTAAGAAGCTTTCATGTATAATATTAAGTCAAAAGGGTATCTGATTCAGAAATGTTTCTACGTACTTCAGATCCGTGATAAATATTTTTGTATTTTGATCTCACATTTTGACGTATAATACTTCGTACTTTGTAATCCTACCTTGTTACAGTAAACTTCCTTAATCGAGGTTAATTTATATCGCTTCAGTTTTCTGGTCAGTCGTTGTTTCATCTGTGCGTTCTTACTTTTGCATGTATTAATTCACCACATAAATCGCACTTTTATCATTTCAGCTGTTCTATCTACCATATTCTGGCGATGGCACGGGTTCCCTACCTGTCTGCAGAGATGGAGATGATACGTAAGTTTTTTAAATGTCTAAACAACATCTGTTTAGAAGGAATTGTGCGTAGTAGTAGAAGTAGTATATCAAATTAATAATGCGTATCGAAGCGAATAATTGATTCACTTCTAAAACACACACCACCAAAATGGCACTTCAAGCCTCCACAACCTACTGTCACACGATTCAAAGATATTTCTTAGGATTCTTGACAAATCAGAGATTGATCTGAAATTCTAACTTACAAGCTATTCACGGACGAACTCTACCTGTTAAGTGGGATCATATTAATTACAGTGATGATTTTGAAGGTAAATATGTAAATCGGAATAATCAGAGCTGGTCAACTAAATTATGGTAACAGAAAACCCTGAGTGATAAACATTCGTTAGAATAAAGTCTAGATAAATAATCATCCTTGGTCAAGAGCTCCAACTTATTATATTTATTTTTTATTCATTCGAACATCAACTTGATACAATATGGACTCTTTACTAATGTACAAAGCTGAGTGATAAGCAAGTAAAACTGCTAACAAATTTTTTTTATATTAACATAAAGGAAATATATTATCTCACAAATAAAATAATCCAAAATCTATTTCCGCAAATGAAGTAACTCAGTTGCCATATTTTCCCTTTTTTCATTTAAGTTGTCATCCCTTAACATGTTGAAAGATCTTCTTTTCTCAACTTTCTGCTTTACTTTTGTTTTCTGGAATTTCCATTCATCACAATCCTGACTGTTTCCATCGCTATTTTTGTTTCCGACATCGCGCTGTTTGCAAATTAATCTTTGGATACTAACCATTGCAACAGTCTAGTTCTAAAGTCCTTGGTTGACATGTTGTGAAATGTCGTCACTAGGCTAAATGTCATGACACTGATGTGCTCTTTGGTGCATTGTTAAGCGTCATTCAGTAGAATGTCTGGGTTTCGACGACTTGTGGCTACCGATCCAGGTAATTCTTGTTGGTATTTATGCATTTTAGCTTTCAGTATTAAAGGATTCTGTCCGCTGTACGTGTGACAGTGTTCTATGCGATTGTAAAATTAAGTGTTTTACATTATTACACACTAGCAATACTCATATCTTTCATAATTTTGAAATTATATTCAATAGACGGCGAAAGCAGTAACAATAACTTGTGAAAGTATGGCATAACGATCCAGTAGACTCTTCATAGTATCAACCTATACACTTCTACTGCAGTTAGCTCACAAATACGCTGTAGACAAGGTAGTTATCCATTATATCATCAGTAGTTATTTTTGTCACAGTGAGTCTGTTTGTACAGATGCCTCCATTCAGTGATACGCTTGCCTAAAACATCGTTTTCATGAACAACATGCAACTGTAACTGGAAACAATTTTTTTTCTGTTTATCAATATCTTTTAATTGTGTTTATTCGCTCTCTAATACATACTCTTTGTATTCTGTTATATTTACTGGATATGTGCTTCTTGCAAACGTCATCTACCTAGCTTAACGGTTGATTTTATACATCCAAGTTTATAACTGTTATCATCACGGTCGTCATTCTTCTTTTTCTTGTTCTTGTTACATGTATTATATTCTATAGCAAACATTTTCCCTTCAGTATGTGTTCTCAATATGGATCGATAGGTAGATATAAACACACATTAGGTTAGTTATCAGTATAAATTATAATTAGTTGTGTGCGTGAATGTGTGTTTGGATTTGTGTATCTGTGTGTGTGTGTGCGGCTCTGCATACATCAATATTTTTAGTTTTGGTTGCAGCTAATTTTCTCTTCATTATGCAGTCAACAAACAGGGGACGTTTAATGATGTGTAGAAATGTTTGTCATTCCACTTTTGGCATCAATATAGTTTCTAAAATGCAAATGAGGTTAACATAAATCTTTTTGTTTTTTAAAGTAAAACACCATCGTTTTTTATAGAAGTCACTTCTTTCTTTATTTGCATAAATCATCACGCGTCTCACTTAGATACGGTATTCATATTGGTGTGTTTATCGTATTAAGCTTTTGTAGAATATCTGTTCTATTTTTGGTTACTGTCATTTAGTAGTGGTTAACTTTTGTTTTGTAAGTTTTCAGTGGTTGGTTCATTTTACTCCATTTTTAAAAGTGTTTTTTCCCACTGGTTTCACATTTAGATAAGTGGTGAGTGCCTCAGCACCTGAATAAATTTGTCGAAATAAAAATTAAAAAGGCTAAGCAGTAGTTTGTGCTTTTCTAACAGTTGCCTAGGTGATGAAAACTCACTGAGATTTTGGCAGATCATTCAAGTATCAGACAGCTGTTTGCAAAGATCAAAAGTCTAAAGGTTTCATAAACTTGAATAAAAAATTAAGCTTAAGAAAGTACACTTAGCAAAACTTTGAATGAAGTATTCTGATCCGAGAAAATCTTTAGCAGAATACAATCTAATAACCTTGTAAAGTATTTCATAAAAGTATGTTTACTAAGTCCTTAAGTAATACAGGGAAAATATATGATGTGCAGACTTTTGAATAGTGGTCTACACCAGACAGTGTAGTACCGAATGGTGTTTCTGACGCCGCTTTAAGAAGCTGAGTATTACAACTTTATTTATTTTACATACTTCGGGATAGACTAAGACCAATTTTATTCAATGAGTCGTCAGTGAACAGTTATGGACTCTGTTCTTCATTAGGTCATAGGTTTGGTGATTATGTATCAGTAATTCTCTAACTGAAACAATCATTCTGCTCTTTACAGACCAACCTGTTGATTTCCTAACCGTGTTTTAATTTTATCGAAAATCTAAATTGATAAAAGTGTTAACCTTTGTGTGTGCATGTGTGCATACCTGGAAATTTCGCCCAGATATTTACGACAAGCAGATTTTTTCCATTTGTTTATTGCTGTGTTTTAAGGTGCTTAATAATGTATGCTGTGTGCACGGTTTAAAACGTTGTACCTCACTGAATTTTGACGAAATTATAAAGTCAGTCAGGCGTGGAGCTTTTCATCTCTTATGCTTTCGATACATATAGTGATTGAGCAAAATGTCTGCTATACGTTTACGGATTAGCTCACACATGCACACATACACACACACGCACATCAGATTTGTTACTAAAATATCAACACATATAATCGTTTTACTTATTGTTCATTACGATGGATGTGTAAATAATAATATTATCGACGTTGATCTTGAACATGAATTATTCGATTTTTGATTAGTGTCTCTGTTTGATAATGTGTGATCTTAACTCTTCCAAATTGGTTTTTATTGGTCATCTCAAGGTAACAGAGGTTTCTGAAGTTAACTCTTAAATAACTTGTTTATTAATCAGTATGAGTTGTGCATTAACAGTGTGTTGGTTTTTCACTCTTAGTTCATTGTGCTATCAATATCTGTATTCAATTCAGTCACTGATTTTTTACTGAATCAGGTTTTGAAGTAGTACTTCCTTGAGTAGACTGGAAACTATTGCCTTTGATTTTTATTCTTTGCCATTAATGGTCATCCTGGGAACTAACATCAAAACTAAGGAAGATACGCCAGAAAGTACACCGGTGTCGTACCACTTACACACCACATCGGATCCTCTTTCAATACAAAATTAGGACTAGAAAATCATTCGGCAACTGAATATATGCTGTTTCCAATACAGTTCAATTAGTTCATTATGATATTACATGATGCCCCTTTTTTGCTAAGTAATAGCCAATTAGTTTGCAGTGTGATGATGACTAAACTGTGATAATTGTGTAAATGTATTGTTTAACTGAAGTTGATAATCAGTAAAGACGTATTTATTAACTTTATTTGTGTTTACAAATACTTTGATAAACCCTTCTGTTTTACCCTTTTTCTGATTTTAGGGAAGAAGGTTACGAATGTGGAACTTCAGCTTTTAGTCCCGACAAGATTTTGCGATAGGTTAGTTGTATTGATTTATGGGCAGTGTTATTTTTTTGATTTCATTTGAGTTGTTAATAGTAATCATAATGACCTCACCAACTTTGACTTCCAGCTATTCACTAAGCCGCTGTCAGTATATGGCGCATAGGGAGTTATATTCTAAGGTTGTTGAGATATGTGGAATTCATGGTTGGGTACTTGTTTCTACAGTCGCCCAAAATTGTTTCCTTCCACTTATACTATTTTTATTCATTTTGACACCTTCTTTACTTTGTTGTTTTTTTCGCCTTGTGTTGTTGCCGGTTGCTGTAGTCTGTGTTAATGGATTTTAATGTAATTTCATACTGTCTTTCCATTTGTCTATATTTTCTCTTCATCTACTGAATTTGACAGCTGATATATGACTTGATAGATAGCTTTTGTGTTATTATCTGTTTACGGCAACACAGTAACAAAAAAGCCTGAATTTCACACAAATTCATTGCTCTTACCGTTAAACAGAAATTGAACCTTTTCACTTCAAAGTGATGGGTCTCAATGACAGTGGAAATTACAGTTTTGAGAGAATAATTTAATCAGGTAGATAATGTATTTCTCCAACTTTATTCTGACAATGAATAATAATAAAAACGAATACACTAAGCTGCTTTGATTGAATGTCTAATGCCTCCACAAATAAACATTCGATTTCATAATAAGTTTTAAGTGTAAATCATATTTTTGTTACTTAATATTGATTGGTGTGTTGTTCACATCTCACCATTCATGTAATTACACGCCGACACACACCTGTGCTACAATCAATGGTGAAAATACAGAACTTAGGAACAGGTGTATGACAATGTTAATTCTCGTTTTTATCATTTCAGTCGAAGCAAGAGAGAGAGAGTTTTGTGCTTAAGCACTTGGTTGTGAGTATTTAAAGTGACATATGCAGTTAATTAGCGGTGGGGTTGGAAGCGTATGCATCTGGTTGATGACCTCTGCGTATTGTAGGTTAAATCGTTTCATCACAATATGATAAAACAACCATTTACTAGACCTCATTTATGCTGAAATAAATATAGTGTAGGATGATTAAACAATATAGTACGGCTTTATTGTTCTTTTAACTTGTAGCATATGACTGTGTACCACTAAACTCCTCTCTATGTGCTAAGATTTCTAGTAACTCAGTAGTATCACTAGACGTCGGGCAATAGACGTGGATGACTGTCCAACATTCAAACCTACATGCGGTTGTGTATATCTTATGTATGTTCACCTTAGATCAGTGATATAGCTGATGATTGATAAGGCTCTCATCATCCTGGTAGACAAAATATTTTTTGTGTTAGAAGCTGCATATCTGCGTGTACTAAAGCTGTGAATGTGAACTTTTTACCTACTATCCGCGCGTTATTGCCTTAATCTCTGATGTTTTTTTACTGTCGTTATAATCTTTAACTTGACTTTCTCTGTAATGTTTTCTACGAATAGATAAGTTATCATATTCCACCTGTTAATTGGTTTCTGATGTGATTAGCAACTATCTGTATTTCTTTCAGAATTTCTGAGATTTCATCGTTCTTAAGCCTCTACACACATTCAGTCACGCTAGCTCATTCTAATAATTCCCAAAGCCTGTTTTATTTCATCGTTTACACAAAGCCGTCTTACTGCTCATGTGCTAGTTATGCGTTATACTTGTGTAAAACTTAGATTTGTTAGACGAGAAGACATCCTGAAGGAAAATGGATTTTATGACTCGACCCAACCTTAAAGGTCTCCTCTCAAATCATTTGTAACAACAGAATTTGTTATCGGAAGACCTGTCACTTAATTTGACCATTAGAAATTATGACGATATACACCAGAAAACATTTAGCGCCTGACGTAACTGCGTACCTCTACAGGTCACCGCACCTCACACTGAAATGTTGGCGTGAAAATAAGTAAAAAAGGAAGGTAGTTATCTGAAAACAGCCATGTTATAAGTTACGAGCATTCATAAAGGACTGAAAACAAAGATGTTGTTCATGTGACTAAGTATAAGCGTGAAGTAACTGGCTCATTGCCATCAATTTTGAGCCATAAAGGAGACGACTCATTGAGAATTGTCCATTCTGGTGGTAACAGAGGTTATCATTACCGGGAAATTCTGCGTCCTGTTAGAACAGCCGGGTGGTTCTTTCGATCTATCCGCGATCCCTGATCTAAATACTTCAATTTTTTGACACTAATCTAACTAGTGACATACTTAGGTAAGTTCTTCAACTAGTGAAGGGGATTTGTAGCTAAGGCGGATATTGTATTATGTTTTTTCTGAGCTGGATGTTTTAATTACGAAGCTTTAATTGTCATTCTGGACAATATCTGTATGTAGAATATTTGGGGGAAATGTCAGACTATTTCTAAATTAAGTGCTTAAATTATTTTAAAATAGTAATGTGTCTTTTTGATGTGGTTGTGTTCTCTGAGCTGGATAGTTAACTTGCGAAGCTTTCATCGCCCTACTAGGCGACATCTTCAGCGCATACTTCAATTTGAAGTGAGCTTTTAGATTTCTCCACGAGTTTATTAATCATCTCTCCTGGTGACCTTGGGCGTGATTGGTTGTTCTAGTGTGTTTTCACACCTTCTAGGCTATTTGTATTGGAACTGATTGTTTCTTTGACTTGAACTTTGACCCTTTGTGTGTGAGGTTTCTTTCTTATCGGTTGATAAATTTTGTCTATCTCGATGTGTCTATTGGTTGATGATTCACTGAGATACCCGACTTCTAAAAATTCTCTAGCATTCTTGTTGTTTCCTCTGTCTAATATTTGAACGTTGTCCCAGTCGAATTGATGTCCGTGGTTGTCTGTATGTAGTGATATGAGGGAGTGGAGGTCATGTCTTTTGACGGCTAGCTTATGTTCGTGGATTCGAAGACGAAGAGGATGTCCACTTTGGCCAATGTAGCTTTTTTCGCAGTTGTTACAATTTATTTTGTAGATGATGTTGGTCTTATCTTCTTTCGTCGTTGAGTCGTTTGGTTGACAAGGAACTGATTGAAGTGATTTTGCTGGTTTGTGTACGACGTCAATTCCTAAAGGTTTGAAGAGTCTTGCAGTGATTTCTGAGATGTCCTTTATATATGGTAGGGCGAATTGACGTCGCACCAAAGAAAATTGCCCTACCATATATAAAGGACATCTCAGAAATCACTGCAAGACTCTTCAAACCTTTAGAAATTGACGTCATTAACACGTGGCCAAAACATCGACAGACCAAATTGACTGGTTGCTTAGTGTTCTTATGATGTAGTTAGTTGTTTCTGTTTAGAAAATTTATGTCGAATGAATAAGACTAGTTGAATATCAGAGATGAAATAGTATCGTGCGCAGTGTAAAAAGCATGTGACTTTTATTACGATTATCTTATTAAATTCAAGCTATAGTAGCAATGCCTGTAGCCATAGCGTGTTAAAAGTGAGAGAATTTAGTTGCTTGGAGAAACATTAAACCACTTTTTTAATAAACATTTCAATACTGCCAACAGGTTACTTCCTCCCTTCTCTCTTTTTATTATTTCAACTCTGTTCAATGCTCTTCTTTATAATGAATTGGTAAATTTCTTTTCTCAAACAAGGTCAAAACAATTTTAGAATACGCCATTCTAGTAACATTGATGCTTGTATTTCTTTATTCATCTCATTTGGTTGGTCCGCAATTTTTTAGTCTATGTCGTTGTTTTTCTTCCCTCCAATGATTAGATTTTCTAATTATCTGTGATAAGTGTAAGTGTCTCTTCTTTAAATCGTAACTATAAAATTCCCTTATATATTTGGCACAAATGTTTACCTTAATAGTGAGCACTTATTGAAGGCCAAATATACTTTAAGAAGGGAAAAGTGTATCCCCTAATAGCTCTTAAACACGATCTTCTTTAGCTGGTCCCACGAATGACCATATTCTCTTATCTCCTTCTTACACGATCTTCCCAATGTTACCCTCGGACGACCCATTCATCGTTTCACATTCGTGTTCCACTCGAGTGATGGCCCAGCGCACGATGTCGTTATACGGTCTCCTCAGCGTGTATCCTATCCATCTTCATTTTCATGTACATATTTATTGAACAATGGGTTCTTTGTTGGCTCGTTCCCATAGTTTATTGTTACCACCCTCTGCAGCACATTTGATCTTCAAGAAAGTTACTGAGAAAAATTTGCAGTTGGCTGTTCGGAATGCTTTTCGTGATGTGCAGTACACATTTCTGAACCATATAGAAGCAATGACTGACTTAACACTTCTACTGAAAATCCGAAATCCGTTTTTATGCTGAATGGGGAAGATTTCCAAACAGATTTCAGAGTGATGAAGATGTGCTCTATCCTCCCGATTCTGGTTTCGACATCCTCATCCGTGCTGTCACCTGTAGTTGAAGCGATGCTGCCTAGATAAGTGAAGGAAGCAACCTCTGTCAAACATCTCCCGTCGATGGTGATTTATGCTGGTTGTTGTTGTTACGGTCCGTTGGTTATCTTCATCACCTCCGTCTTCTCTTTGTTCACATGACGTTTGGCCTTCTCGTGCCTGCTTTTTCTGCCAATCTGTGGCTTTTCGCCTGTAATTCTTCGAATTTATATGACATTACATATGTGTAGTCCACGAAATCCAGATCTTCTAGAGTCTTTTTGTCTTCTCACTCCCAACGCACAGTTTGACGCAATTCTATAGTGTGTCTACGGATGATGATGCATGGACTTGCAATTTGATCGTCATACGATATGCTTTTCCTGAATTTCAGAGTCATGATTAAATAAAAAAGTCAAATTATAGTTACAAAGACACAAGAAATTTATCTGTAAAACTTTTTACATGATATCTAGACGGCCAAGGCACAAATTTCTTCTAAACACAAGTATGTAGCTGGTTAAGAAGAACTCCGATTACCTCTGTTGTATGTAAAAGTCATACTGGTAGAGCATATGAAACGTTGAGTGAAATACGGTAAATAACCTTAAAAGCTTTACTGGTGTCTATCTTGTGTTTAGTATCGACGAGATGAGCTAGTGTTGAGGCGTGTATAGTTTTAATTCAGTCTTTTACCTAACCACGATGAGTATATTCAGAAATTCGGCATAAACGTTAGTGTTTCTAAAACTTGGATTCACGAGAGATCTTAAAATTAGTATTGTATCGCGATGTCTGAAAAGGACTTTTAAAAAGGATTTCTAATGAATACAAGTTGTGCTCTTCATTCACTCGCCAACCAACACTTAGTTTATCGAATTAAGTTAAACTGACTAATTTCGCCTCTTCCATGCGTGTGTACTAGTTTAACTGCTTCCATAAAGCTAGTTATACTTCGTATATATATATATATATATATATATATATATATAGTTACTTTTAGTTGTTCTCCTAGTCTGTGATCTGATATTATGTGCTGCTTCAACTAATACTAATCGATGAAATATGTGTAGTATGAAATCACTTGCTGCATCACTACCATAGCGCGAAACAGTTAAACGTTATTCTATTTTAATCATTTTACTATTATTATTTCACTTTTGCATGTCAATTCGCTACAGTTTAATCGTTTTACTTTTAAATATAGAGACTCAATAAGTCTTACATATGAAGTTTATTCATTGTAACCCACACTCATAATTTATGTAATAAGACTGACATTTTATACTCTTAATTTTGTTTTTATTTTAGTCGGTATCGTATTGATTATTAATGATGCTCAACTCCTGAACAAAATAAACTGCTGAAAGTACACTCGTGTATTCATTTCGCTCATATATATACATATATATTTCCTTTTTTATTACCTTCAGTTTCGTTAAAAACTTTTTTCTTGTTTTCTATTTTTAACTGAGATTTATTAATCTCTTGTTTTTATGACAGTAGCTTCAATCCAGTGCTGTGTGTGTTTCATATGGCATTATTGACAGAGAGAGAGAAAAAAGTTTTTATTACAGTATATGTATTTATTCTCTTCAGACAACAAATTACAACGCATAATTGATGCGAGAATGATTTTTTTAAATACACGTGGTTACTGCTGTGCTTTTTTTTATTCCTTCACGTTCCCAGTGGAACATAGAGCTTCAAGCTAGAGGCTTGAAGTTTCTGTAGCAAAGTTTATTTTTACTGGATGGGGTTGCTAGCCTCATGCCCAACCTTCCTTGTTTACCAGTCTTATTACTGGCTTAGCGTCGGCCGGGGATCGAACCTCGGACCGTGTGCATAGTCGGCGAGCATCCTAACCACTGTGCCACCGACGGACTACTGCTGTGCTTACACATCTTATTATTGCTAAAATTGCTTTTGCGAAACATTCATTCAAAGTATGAAAATTCCCATTTCATCTAATTAAGAACACATGAGTCAGCAAAGAGGTCTCTTTTCGTAACTTCACTTCAAAGCTCTACATTTACTGAAGGCGTTTATGTAAACAAAGCTAACTGATAGCAGAGGTCAAAGGTTATTCTCAGTTAGTAAAGAAGCAAATCAAGGTACATGAGTGATAATTATATTTGGAGAAATGAGAATAATCCTAACTAATCAAGAGGACTTACAACTAATTAGTTGAGTGATGAATAATTGTTCGGACAAGAGAACAAAACACTAAAAATAAGTTGCAAAAGCATAAACGGACTTTTTTCCCTTCACGTTCCCCAGTGGAACATAGGGCTTCAAGCTAGTGGCTTGAAGTTTCTGTAGCAGTGTTTATTTTACAGGATGGGGTTGCTAGCCTCATGCCCAACCATTCCTCTTCACCAGCATTATTTCTGGCTTAGCGAGGTAAAGGAGTGCGCCGGCCGGGAGTCGAACCCTGGACCATGTCCATGGTCGGCGAGCGTCCTAACCACTATGCCACCGACGCATGAAACGGACTACATAGAACTTATTCTGCAGTTATTTAGGAAGAACAAGAAGGAATGAAAACAGGAAAATAGTACTAAGGCCATGGTGGTAAAACATCCACTCATCTGGATCATAATTTTACGATAGTCATGGTTTCGAAATCTACTTTCTCGTTCTGTATATGCCTGAATTGGATGTGTGAATTGAGAGTGTAGATTTCTCTGATTAGTCAGGAAGTTTTATAATAGGCTACAATGGATTTATATTAGTAACGAGTTTAAATATTGATATGATGCTTATACAAGCTGAAGCAGTCTATCTTATGAAATTAAAGGCATTTTTGCGAACAATTGATATGATTATGAACAATAAATTTTGTTCGAAACGTCATCCAGTAAATAATACTGTTTCACTGTGTGATATATCTAATAAACAAACTAATATGGAATATTCAGATCATTTGTAACGTAAAGAGCTTCTGTAATTGGGACACAAAAGTAAACGGAATTGTTGAGGAATTTGGTCACAAATGACATTTTTTGGAAATGTAAAGCCAAGGAGGGAGGCTGCATACGCGATTTTTTAATCTCATTTCCGCAACGTATGAAATTTTACTTCTAGAATATAACTCATATGGGTTTTTTATGTGTATTAATTCGAAAATATAACTGTACACAGAGAAAGAGAGCAGTCTAAGGCTAACAATAAAGGGTGAAGTCATGAGTAATTACCTTAAGTTTCACTACGTTCATCAACACACATAGATATGAGTAAGTCTGGTTGATGAATCCGGCAAAGATTAGAACACTGCTTCAAATTTCATTAATATCCATGTAACAATGATTCCATTATGGATAAAATTTTATTTTGATAAAGTCACACAGTGTTGAACAGTAAAACTTACTGATGACATTTTGAGCACAATTTATTCCTCATAGTCATATCAAGGCACTACTCACACAACTTTCTTGCTTCGTTTATGTTCGAAGCCAGAAGCTTTCCATCAGGCTTCCGAGTGGTGTATGTGTATGTACTAGTTTCTTAGTTTGAAAACTGATACGGTGTGGTAGGAAGTTAAGTGTTGGCCGAATTCAGGAGGAATGGCCTAGACATGCTGCTCAGTTACGAGCAAATCACTCAAAAAAATTATTGTGCAGTGAATACCTTCTCTGCAACTTTATTTCGCCAACGCAGTAAGAAAAACTACTTTTTATGAATAGTTTCAGTAATATGATTACGAAGAAAATGTAACTGGCGCATGTTTATGTACTGAGATATTAGATATATTTGTGTAAAGATTTATGACAGGAACTTGATGTTCCAAAAGAGAGCTGAGTTTACGAACTATCGGTTAAATATATGTGATATCAAAGGTGGAGCAAAGTTCTATGAGTACACCAGACACACTTAATCTAAACATTTATGCAAAACAAACTCGCCTATAATAATTTAGGACTATGAGAAGGACCAAGTCTTGCAACGTAAGACTACCAGAGAGTTGAGGCTTAATTTCAGTGCTCTGCTAACAAAGAATCTTAGGATATGATTGCTTTCACAAAGGGTGGCAAAAGCTAAGATACATTTACTTGTGAACTTGTACAGTTTCATTTTTGTTTTTGGGCAGATATGTGGAAGTTCATCGCCATTTATTTTCTAAACACCATCTAGATAAACGTTACACAGTAGCAGATGTTGGAATTTCCGATTCTCTTTCTCAGCTCAGTTTGCATGATAACATATAGATTTCTCAATTGCAAATAACCAAAATCTATTCTACCATAATCCACGTCACCGAAAATTGACTAACTAAATAATGTATGTTTTTAGAGTATACTCATCACATGAGTGAAGAAAAAAATTAAAATTCTATGACTTTTGATACTCAATCAGGAGAACAAAAATCACACATGATGTGTTTCAAAATTGTTTGATTAGCTAAATTTAGGTGGTTAAAAATACACTTCTTGTAGGATATTGAATACTGATTCTCTCCGTGATGTTCAATATTGAGGATAAGCAGCTCGATTGTATAGAAAAGCACTGGTTGTAACATCAGTTTATTTCACACCATTTCATGGTGAAGTATTGACATGATCATGAAGATTACCACGTTAGTTTTCAGCAAGTGAACTCTCACTACATCTTTCATTCAGCCAAAAGTTCTTAAGTAATTTGTTCTCAAAGCTCTACTTGAAGAAAGTATTCTAGGGTACCTTTGGAGTGTTGGTTCATTTAGAATGAGTTTCAAGAATTTTCACACACCATAGTAATATTAGTACTTATCATTAGATAAAAACAAAAATAAAATTACGATGACAACTGAAGTTAACACAGTACAGATATGAATGAAATCACGGCATTTTTCATTATCCTTGATCACTACGTAATGGATGTCATTGTAGAGAAAAATATTATTATCACAATGATTGACTCCAGCATCCAATATATAATTCTATATACTCTAGTTAAATGAGATATTAATATAACTATTGAATACTTTCATTAGTCCCAGCCTTAAAATATGAAAATCAGATACATTGGCATTTGGTCAATAAATAAATATGAAGGAGCACCGGTGTGGAGTTCATACTAATACAAATACTAATACTACCAATTAAAATTGTAATCCTTATTTCACTGCATCATTCACCTGCAACGCTAATAAAATTCGGCGATGAAGAACAAGTGGATAACTGAACATACAATTAAACGGGAAATTCAAATTAGGCCAAACCAGGAAATTATTATGATATCAGATTAGCAATTTATGCAAATAAATTTTAACAGTAACACACAGTCACACAAATAAGATTTGATTATTACATGCGCACGAAATTAAACAAAGCTGCATATAATTATATTGACGGGATGCAGAAAAAGAGATGTTTAACAGAACATTATTTAAGCGTAATAGACATTGTTGAAATTGATTTGGTGATCCGGGCCAAATAAAGATTATTTTTACTTGCTAGTTAATCCGAAGTATGTTGGTTAAGGGGAGAAAATGCTGTTTTCACACAATTCTTATATATGACGCTAAGTTTGCATGTAGCTTGCATCTATTTTCACAGCAACATTGTTCAGCCACGTCGTCACTACTCCATCAAATCAAGGAACTTTAATTCAGCTGATACATGCTGTTTATTTACTAACCGACTAATATTTCTTTCACGAAATATAGACGCATTAATTAATTTCTCCTCTTCCATGTGTATTTATCAATGTAACTGCTACTTGAGATTCAGAAATTTCATCGTCTCATTTCTCAACAATTCTCATCTTGATATGGTTGTGTTCTCTGAGCTGGATGGTTTACTTGAGAAGCCTTCATTACCCTGCTAAGCAACATCTTCAGCGCATACTTCATTTAGAAGTGAGCTTTGAAATATCTCCACAAGTTTATTAGAAATATCTCCTGAACGTGATTGGCTGCTCTTATTCACGTTCAGAGTCACCATGAGGGGTTTCTAACACACTTGTGGAGATATTTCAACGCTCACTTCTAACTGAAATATGCGCTGAAGATGTTGCTTAGCAGGGTAATGAAGGCTTCTCAAGTAAACCATCCAGCTCAGAGAACACAACAACATGAAAATCATCCACGTGAGCTTCAAATCTTCTCCTTTATATCTGTTTCCCATCTTGGATAGGCAAAGGACCGAATAAAGCTCACCTCGTCGATACTAAACACAAGATAGACACCAGTAAAGCTTTTAAGGTTATTTACCGTATTTCACTCAACGTTTCATATGCTCTGTCAGTATGACTTTTACATACAACAGAGGTAATCGGAGTTCTTCTTAACCAGCTACATACTTGTGTTTAGAAGAAATTTGTGCAGCCGTGTTCCTTGTCGTGGTCATGCACATAATATCTATAGAGTATTTCAAATGATTTACATCAATCTGTGTAGCTATTATTTGACACTGTTATTTCAATTTGATTAATGTTGTAGCTAGTTGAGTTAACTTGTTATCACTGCACAATTCACTAATCTATCCTTCTTATTGATTATTGTGTTACAAATTATTGATCATGTAATAATAACCTATACAGATTAAATGATCTTGGATACATTATATATATATATATATATATATATATATCGTGATCGTGTACACATGTCGTGTGAGGACATAAAACTTTTGAAAATACCGTTTTAGGCTTAAACAGCCACTGTGGAGAAACAAGTTGAAGAGGATAGTAATTAATCATCTAATTGCCTGGTCTGTTAAC